TTTGAAATCCGCGGTACCGTTTTAATTCTCCGCGATGCCGCTTGTTTCCATGCGGTACCGCTTCTCCCCTTCCGACAAGGAATAACAACAACAACAACAATAATAATAATAATAATAATAAAAATAATAAAAACTCCTTTTCCAACACCAATACCAAAACGCGCAGCCCCATCTTATTTTCCGGCTGTGTCGTTTTCTGTGTCGCGGTACCGCTGAGCTTCCTTGCGGTACCTTTTTTTGATCCGCGGTATCGTTTACACTCTCCGCGACTTTGCTCGATTCCAAACGGCACCGGTTTGTATCATGCGGCATTGAATGAAATGCCGAGACTCATTAATACGACATTTAATTAATTCAAATTAATTTTAGGTGTAAACAATGCCCCACAACTTGGTTTATAAGAATTTATGAACCAAGTTGTTGACACAACTCAAAGCACCTAAAATTACTTTAATAATTAAATCAACTTTGCCCTAGAAAATTCACGAATCACGTCTAGGCAAGGATGCTTAGATTAGGAAAACTATTAAAAGGGGCCTTGTAATTCTTTTGCCTTTGCGTCGCTGGATCCGCAGCATTGATAATTTTTTTTTTTCACTAGCGCCGCTGCTCTCCTCCGCCAGCGCTGCATGCATTTTTTTTTATCAGGCTGTTAGCGGCCCTCTTTTTATTTATTATTTTTTTTTTCATCAGCGCTGCTAGCAACAGCGGCAGCTCTGCCTGCCCAAATTCTTTTTTTTTATTAGTATTATTCCCCACCAGCGCTGTATGTGTTTGCTTTTTCTTTTTTTTTTCTTTGTATTTTCCGCCAGAGCTATTTGGAAACAGCGGCAGAGCTGGAATTTTTTTTTTCTTCACGGCTGGGGAAACAGCGGGCAGCGCTGCATGATTAGTATTTATATATATATATTTTTTTTTTATTCCGCAAGCCATTACCTGCAACACTGCGGCAAGTACCCAATGCGGCTTGGACTTCTTTTATATATATTGATGGCAGCAGAGTTGCAGCCAACAAATCAATGTTGAGGTAAAATTTGCTTTGGTCAATATTCTCCGTAATAATACCACAACATGGAATGAAAAAGGAACAACGTTGTTGCAAGTTACAACAACTCTGCAACGCCTCCAAACCTACGTTGTCTTGCTCTTTCTTTATTTTTTAATTAATCGTGGCCATTTTTTTTAATATAAAATATAATTTAGGCCAACATCCTGCACCATTGTTTTTCCGAAACAGTGGTGTTTTGTTTACTGCCTTGCAAACTTGCGGCAAAGAGAAAATTTGATTATTGTTATTGCTTTTACTTCTCACTCTCAGCGTTGCCGTTTTGCGGCATTTATTTATTTTTTTACTTTTTGTTTCCACAGCATTGTGTATCCCTCCATCACTGTTGAGAAAAGAGAAAACTACACCGTTTGCCATCTTGGACTATTGACAACACCGGCTTCTTCTTAACAATGCCGCTGGATTATTATTTTTTACAATATTTTTCTTTTTTCCTTTTTTTTTAAATATATCACGTGGCCTAACTTGGCCATATTTTATTTATTTTAATAATAGCTAAACAAAAACGGGATCGGCATTGGAAACCATCATGCCAGAAGTCCAAACCCACTGCCAACTCCACATATCAAACCAAACAAGCCATCCATAAATTCCCTGACTCGTTGGTTTTGATATTTTGGAACCAATGTTGGCTTGCAAATCCCCAGTTCGTCTAGCTCGAACATCTTTGTTCGAAACTCCACGATCTTGATTTGGCCTAATCTTAGCTTCGCGGAATGGAAAACCATAAGCATTCTTGGCTCTAGACAGGACATTCCCGTTTTTTTGCACCTTTGTCTTGCCAATTCGACCATGAGACATCGCTTGCCTAGACTGGTCTAGTTTTGTCAACTTCGCACTCTCACCATGTTGTTGGTAGTATGAGCGCTGAGACTTTTTCATAAACCAGTACATTGGTATTTTGCTTAGCACGAACATAACTTTTGCACCTATCACACCACAACGTTGCCCCTTTTAAAATTCCACGTGAGTTTGGAGTTTGTTTGGCATTGGCCTTGCCCCCCAGACCACCACTCATGGATTTATTCCCAGCCAGCACTAGAGTGGCAACCCCATGTCGGGTTTGATCGAACTTGCCCCCCTCTCTACTCAGTGGAGGTTTTGGGGACAATTTACATAGAGGATTCTGTTGATTCATGCCAACTTTGGTGGCATTGGGTTTTTTCACGTGGCTACCGCCCCCACACTGCAAAGTTTTTGCTGCCATCCTTGTTTGAATTTTCCGAGAATAGGACATATTTGGAAAACTTATTTGCCACTTGCGATGTTGTTTTTCCATCAACCGACCATGCCGTGGGATCTCATGCCCCCCTAGCGGCTTAGATTGAATACCATTGCGATGTTGCTTGGACAACCCATCATACGTGAGCTTGTTATGCTCGACGTGATTGTAACCAGGTTCTCGACCCTGGTTCTTGTTTTCAATCTTATTAGAAGTAAGTCGATACTGACTTCTTTGTAGTGGCTTCTGCAAGCCACTTCCAATTGGTGTGTCCTTTAGAACAACGTTGTTCACAGGAAAGAACACATTGGATTCACTCACTTCTGGCAACAATGTTGTAGCCATCGATGATGGAGTTTGGTTGACATTAGCTATTCGACCAACCATCGCATCCTCACACACAACAGACATGGTTCGAGATTTAAACACATCAAAATCATACGCGGCTCCAAGTTTTGACATATTAAAATCAGAAACAGAGTCGTCCAACTTATCAAACCATTGATCTATTTTTTTTCAAGATTATCCATTTTTTTGTCAAGAGAAGTTAAAATGAGATTTACCTGTTGGCTATCTCTGCTGAGTTTAGCCACTACTTGGCGGAGCATGCGCTGCATCTCACCCTGATCGGCGATTTGCTCCACTGATTGCACCTCCGCTCCATCATTGTTGCTTGAATCGCCTACAACGTCGTCAATCTCGATGTTGACCATCTGATCCTCCTCCATGGATCCTTGTGGAAGACCACCATCTTCTTTTCCTCGTCGCAGAGTCATATCAAACACACGTGTCCCACTGGGTGTGCCAAATTGTTTCCTCGGAAAAACCAAATACCACCGCCGGTGCCGGATTTGGTTTTCGGCGATGTTGATTTGATGTTTCGCGATGGAAACTCTTGCGGTGCCGTTGATCAGATGCACCGCTGATAGCTGAAATCGAGACGACCGTCAAATATCCGCCGCCGAATGTAGGCGCCGTTGATTTGATCGGTGCAACTCTGACTTCTGAAAACGATGATGATCGTCAAATATCCACCGTCGTGCGATGTTGATTTGATCGATGCACCTCTTAATGGTGAAATCAACGTGACCGTCAAATATCCACCGCCGAACGATGTTGATCTGATCGATGCACCTCTGACTTCTAACCAACGCGACCGTTACTACGGTTCGCACCTCTCCAAACTATGTTCGAACGAGGGTGTTTGAGTTTTGGGGAATCTACGTTACCGCTACTCCTATGGAGATTCCTGTGGAGAGCTCCGCGACTACGACTACTTCTACCAACTATGGAGATCCTTCCTGGAAGAAGAGCTCCGCGAAGGAGTTACAGAGAAAAAAGGTAAAGTTTGACAGATGTGTTTCTGTGTTGATTTTTGGTTCTCCTCTCTCTCTCTTTGCTCCACTGCTTTTATTCGAAAAACTACTTCGTAGTCTTCACGCTCGTAGTCTTCGCCGTTTAATCTTTCCGCGGCATCGCTTTTCACTAATCGATGCCGACCTTGAACTGCTCCGTCCTGGTCCCATCAAACAATGTCTTTTTTCATTCCGCGACATTGTTCTCTACCAAACGGTACCATTTTCTCGTCTTGCGGTGCCGTTGGGTTTGGCGCGCCGCCCTCACCAAAATCCTACCCGTTGTGGTGTTGTTTTTAAATTAAACGGCGTCACTTAGTAATACCGCGACACCGTTGAGGCCTTTAGCGGTACTGTTTTGAAATCCGCGGTACCGTTTTAATTCTCCGCGATGCCGCTTGTTTCCATGCGGTACCGCTTCTCCCCTTCCGACAAGGAATAACAACAACAACAATAATAATAATAATAATAATAATAATAATAATAATAATAATAATAAAAACTCCTTTTCCAACACCAATACCAAAACGCGCGGCCCCATCTTATTTTCCGGCGGTGTCGTTTTCTGTGTCGCGGTACCGCTGAGCTTCCTTGCGGTACCGTTTTTTTATCCGCGGTATCGTTTACACTCTCCGCGACATTGCTCGATTCCAAACGGCACCGTTTTGTATCATGCGGCATCGAATGAAATGCCGAGACTCATTAATACGGCATTTAATTAATTCAAATGAATTTTAGGTGTAAACAGGCTCTATGATAATTTTCGTACGACAACATCAAGCAATTAACGTCTCTATATTTTTTTTCATAGTTTACAATTTGGAACCTAAAATTTATCTTTTATACAAAAGATCCTTGAAAAATTAGGTTTTGGTACCTAAAATTTGTTCTTATGACATTTTAATATCTAAACTTTTCAAAATTTACATATTGGTTCAAGGCTTGGATGTTATTTGGATCCATGGATCAATCTATCAATCCATATGATCCAATCCATGAATCAATCAATCCATTTCATCCATGGATCCACCAATTCAGTTACCAATCCATTTGCAACCTTTAGTCACAATTGTATCCCAGATCCTAGCAAAATCGAACTCAGTTAGGGTTTGAAGTATGTACAAACATTGGAATACCATGTGTTTAACAAATGAGATCACTGATATTCGGGGGGGAAAAAAGCATTTAACAAATTGATCATTGGTACTCGAACAAAAAACGTTTGGATTATAAAACGATCATGATATCATGCTAATTGTTAAGAATCAGTTGAACGAAGTAGTATGAAGAAATGGCGGGAAAATAGAAAATTAAAAAAACCCTTCGCGGTGTATTTTGTTTTTTGCTTTCTGTCATTTGGGAAAGAAATTCGGAACCCTTCGATGCTCCGACTCCGAGTCCCACCGTCCGTCTGAGTGGGATCCCTAGCGGCATTTGCAATTTCCTATCCCGACGACGGCAACGCAACCCTTTTGCGGTTCAATCTGTCCGGCGTAGCCACATCTGCAATACTTTCCCCTCCGGCGGAAGGAGGCACTGCATCAGAATGTCTATCCGAAACCCTAACAAGAAGATTCGCATAGACGGGGAAGCGGAAGAACACCACATCGGCGTCGATCGGTTGAGCAGCCTTCCAGACCATATTCTCCAAAGCGTTCTCTCCTTCTTGGACTGCACCAAACGCTCGGTTCAAACCTCTGTCCTCTCCAGAAGGTGGAGATCGCTGTGGAAGCAGGTTCCCATTCTCACTCTTCGTACCAAGCACTTCACCCCTTCCAGTTTTGCCCGGTATGTCGGCGAAGTCCTGTCCCGCCGCCCCGAAAATTGTAACATCGACGTGATTTACTACGCTCACTTGGATTTCTCCATAGACAAAGAGTTGTTCCACAGGGTTGTGAAGTTTGCTGCGTCTCACAGCTGTCAAGAATTAGTTTGCGTGCCCTATGATGATGAAGCTCTCGATTCCTATCTGTTTTTTCCCTTCGAAAATAGCAATTTGAGAACTCTGCGAATAAGACGAGCCGCTCTGGAAAGTGGATTTGGATCGTGTGGGTTCAGTATGCTGACCATTTTGGAGTTGGAGGAGTGCTCGCTGCCTTGTGACACTGCAGCCGACCTTGATCCATTCGCTAACTTCCCCTGTTTGAAGGATTTGATATTGTCTTGCTGTGGATTTGAAGATGACCAGTGTTGCTTCAACATCAATGGACCGCAGCTGGTTAAACTCCTGGTATACGAGTTTGATTGTTCTAAGTTGGAAATATTTGCACCGAAGCTCAAATTCTTCGATTACTTGGTTTATTCGAAGATCACAAGCTTGTTCAACTTAAGGCTTCCCTCCCTTGATCATGCTGATATTTCAGTAGTTCGCAGATGCCATGATGAAAGAAACATGGAAGAGATGAAGGCTTGTTATATCAGCTTGTTACAAGGTCTGCATAATGCGAGTTCTTTGTTCATGAATGATAGTCTCTTTGAGGTATATTTCCTAACTTTGAGATTGTTCTTTCTGAACCTATTACTCCACGGATTAATTTGTTTTCCCATCGTGTAGTTACTGTGCGAGAATTGCGAGTTATTGGAGAATCAATCTTGCCCCTTTACCAGATTGAAGTCTTTGGAAGTAGCGGTGCATAGAATAACTTGCCCTTACAGATTACCTTCACATGTGATAAGTTACTTCTTGAAAGGCTCTTCCACTTGCGAACCAGCATATATTGAATTTGTCTAGGTAATTCACATAAACCCACCTTTTCTACTTTTGACTGTATTGTTTCACAGTGTTGTCATCTGTTGTCATCTGTTGTCAATGTTCATAGATGTCAATTAGCCTGTCTTTCATTCACATAAGCGTAAGTGAGAACCTCTTACTAAACGGTATTTAACACTGCAGTGGTTCAACTTTGCTTTTCGAAGTCCCCTGCCATTTTCCCTGGGTTCCTTGTATCTCTGCTGATTCGCTTGTCCTTGCTTTGACAGCGTTCGTAGAAGTCACTTACCTTGTTTTTCATGCATGTCTGCTTAAGTGGGAACCTTTTCCTTTCGTTTGAAGTTTTGATTGTGAGAGAAGCTTGTATCTCTGCTGATTCTTTTTCCCTCACTTCGAAAGTATATATGCTATAGTAAGAGTGTTGCCTCACTCATAGGTGCTTCTCAAGGAATAATCATCCTGACTTTTTTCTTGTTGGACCCTGCTCCTCTGCTGGAACTTTTAGGCTTGGCTTCAAATTATGGTGCTGGTGAAATGAGTTATCTTTCAAAAATCTTTGCTGGTTAGATAAGCTGAACATTTGGATGTATTTTCTTACCACATGAATGTTAGAGAGGAACTCGTTAGAAGCAGTACCATGTTTCTGCTGTAGAACAAAGCTTTAGAACTATATGAAGTACTTGGGAATGACGTATTGATGCCAAGAGTAGAGAAACATTCCCAGGACATTGCAAGTAAGCATTGTAATCCAAAGAACGGAAGAAACAAAAAATTCTGCTATTAGTTAGTTTTGTGATGTGATGTAGCATCAACCTTGGCACTTTACCTGCACTGAGGAGCCCTACTTGCACTATATGGTGCCAAAATCAGTTCCTTTGACAAGGGTTCTTACTGTACAAGACCAGGATTTCCTTAGTTTGTCTGGGTGATTCCAGGTTGAGAATGCTTCTTTCATCTGTCTATTTTAGGTTGTGTTATTTGTTGGATTCTGATTGTGCCTCGTCTCCTATTTATTGAAGGATCTTTGTATCACCATGCTGTTATTTCTTTCACAACCTGCTTACTCATTTTTCTTGCAACTACCTTATATGCATCCCCCCTCTGCTTTTGCCATTGTTAGCGTGTGCCGATAGGCATTGTAGATATTTTGCAGTGTGCGTGAGTGTTTATTCTACTTTCCTCATGAGTCTGTAGTTGGCAGTTACTCCTTACATCTATGACTTGCGACACTGATAACCTGTTCTTGCTCTGCAGGAACTTGGAGAAGTATAACTAGGTTCACTTAAATGTGATGGGTTGTGCTGCTGTTGCTGTTTGTAGATGTCACCTAGCTGAAGCTCCTTATGAACCTCGAGTAATCATAGGTTTAGTTAATTTAGGATGTATTGCTGTTTTGACCTAAAAGCTGTACGTAAATTATGTTGTGTTCAACATTTCTGAAACTCATAGGATATTCCGAACGAAAATCTTTCATGGAAAGTGTCCAACAGTACTCAATAGTAGCTTAATTTGAGAAGGACTATAGTGAGCTCTGATCCAAAGAACCAGCAGCAGCTTTCTATGCTATGGTCCATCCCTCCAGTTAGTCCATAATATAAGGTCTTTATTATGTGAACGTACTTATATTCCCCTTACAATTTTAAGAAAAGTAGAATGAGATGAAACCTATCTGATCATTCGGGGAAAAAAATCCAAAATCAAAAAACACATGTTTGTGCATTATTGCGGTCGTCAACCGCAATAATTGCATTCACCGCGGTTGACGGGCGCGGTGAATACCTGACGCAACACTGAAACTTCAAATGAACGTAACTTCCATATTAGATTGTAGCGAAAAAAAATTTTATTTAGCATAACTTTTCAAGATTTTTCAATCTGCAACAAACCTTCATCCCAAAAAAATGTCGTTTGCTACTCCGAACGAGCAATTTTTCGATTTTTCCAAACTTCGGAAGACCATAACTTTTTGCTCCTTGGTCCGAACGTCATAAAGTTTTTTTTTTATTGCGCATAAATTTTTAAGAACTACAACTCTTACTAGGAAGAATTTTTTTTTTTAAAAAAAAGAAATATTTTTGGGTATACGGGATTTTAGGAATAACTTTGCATTTACTTTTCACAAATCCACATACAATCCAAAATTATGGTTATGATAAAAGTTGTAGTTCTTCAAAAGTTAGGCGAAATAAAAAAAAATTCATGACATTCGAATTGGGGAGCACAAAGTTATGGTCTTCCAAAGTTTGTCGAAATCAAAAAATTGCTCATTAGAGGTAGCAAACGACATTTTTTTTTGGGATGACGGCTTGTTGCACATTGAAAGATCTTGAAAAGTTATGTGGAATAAAAAAAAAACGCTACAATCGGATAACCGAGCACAAAATTACGTTTGTTTGAAGTTTCAGTGTTAGGCCAGGCATTCACTGCGGGCGTCAACCGCGGTGATGCATTCACCGTTTTCGTCTGCCGCGGTGAATGCATTCACTACGGTTGACGAGCGCAGTGATGCACAAACATGTGTATTTTGGAAATTTTTCATAAAACATGTGTATTTTGATAATTTTTTTAAAAATATGTGTATTTTGAGATTTCTTCCGATCCTTCTAACTGTAACCGTAAATTTCAAAGTGTGACGAACAAGAAACAACTGTAAAATAGAAGCCACTGAGCATTCGGTACGTATCAATAAGTAGGTTTGAGGCATTAGGATTTAGGAACTGGGAGCCCTTGGAATAGAGTCCCTAAAGCCATCGACAGAGGTGATGGGGAAGCCATTCTCAAGCTTGACACTAATAGCTCTTGCATTTTTCTTCAGCTCCTCCTTGCCCATTATGCTCTCTATGCCCCGAATAACGTTGTTTTTGTTAAGAGATTTGGAGAAATCATCTGTTGCGAATTCACAGTCAGCCCAATGCTTGACCACCAGAATGGCGTTATGGTACTGATCACCTCGAATTGGCCATGCCAGTATGCGAACCCCACACCCAATGGCCAAGGTCGAGTTTCATCCGCAGTGCGATAAAAACGCTGTCATAGAAGGATGGCACAGGATCAACAATTGTGGCGCCCACCCGTGGATGATCATACCTTGTAAAATTTGATGACGCGGAAGATCGAAAGAACACAGAACACAAGAGTTTTATGTGGTATCCTCGATCGATTGATCGAGACTAATCCACGGTGAGCTCGGAACGAGCTCAAGACGTAGGGTTAAAACCCTAATGACAACCAAGTTTCCGTCTTTGACAAGGACAAGGAAACAAGGGACTTGGAGGATAAGGAATTAATTATTTTTGACTAAATAATTAATATCCTCAACACTCCCCCTCAAGCGAAGACATGAGTGACAAGAATGTCGAGCTTGAAAAAGGAAATGTGACGAACAAGCATGACAAGCTTGAACAACAAAACTCGAGATGAATAACATCTCGGACAAGGTTGATTTGGAGACGATTGACTCTCTCCCTTGAACAACCTGATGAAGACGGTTGACTGCATCTTCTTGAACGTCGTGACGAGACGGTTGATTGCGTCTCTTGAACGACCTGACGGAGACGGTTGACTGCGTCTCTTGAATGACTTGACGAAGATGATTGACTACGTCTATTCGTAGGATATGATGAAGACGGTTGACTGCGCCTCTACCTGGATAGGATTGAACGAGAGGCTGTTGATTGCCCCCCTCTTGAACGAGACCGATTGAGACTTCTGACTATTGTCTCTCTTGAACGAGACTGGGGAACCTCCTTGACTGATACACCCTGGTCAATATGCTGAACTGATTGACCACGTATGATGATGCCCTATTCTCCCCCTCAAGCTGAGCATGAACATAGTGAATGCTTAGCTTGAAAGTTTGAATGGTAAAGACTGTGGTTGATTCTGGACATTGAGGGGACGATAGCTTCCTTGATCGTGACTGCCTCTATGACTTGATCATGACTGGCTGTTGAAGGAACGACCATTAGTGTCTTCACTGCCATGACATTGATTGATATTCCAACTAATGACGACAACTGGAACAAGGCACACAATTACCACCACGAAGACAAGGCAAAACAATTCCATTGTTGACCATGTAATTGCTTTGACCTAACCAACTCCTACTTCTCCCTTTTGGAATTAACCAAAACAACACCACAAGAGGACAACACATTGAACTTCGACCAGATGCTCCAAAAGCAGGCATTGAGCTTCCAAGCGCAGGAAACATACCCAAATGTTGTGGTAAATGGGAAAGTTGAAGACGAAATCCACCAAAGCCAAGCCGATTCATAATTAGGTCGAACTTTTTTTTTTTTTGCGACCGTATATGACAGTGATGGCGGCCTGACCTTAGTGATTCGATGACCTTTTTTGGCACAAGCCAAAGCAACCAATATTCGAAATTGGCCCAATATTTGTCCAATTGAAGGTATCGATCATTGACGAGTGGACAAGCTGCGCACGGAAGCCAAAAGACGAAACTACCGATGTGGCCAGCGACTATGAACTACGGGTTGACGTAGGCACAGATGGAGACGCGGCGGCAGGTGTTGACGTGAGCAAGGGCGGAGCTGACTGTCGAGGAGCTGATGTTGGGTGACTGGAGACTACGTGCAGGCGTGTCATGTGAAAAAATTGCTGCAGACGAAGATGATGGCAATGGTTGGCGGCCTGGAACTGGAGACGGTGGCGAGAGTAAAGGACGACCATGGGATCGATGGCGCCTGGGCTGCTACTCACGACGATGATATCGATGGCTACGACCGGATCTAAGGCTCGGAGACTTTGACTGGGTGCCGCGACCGGTGATGGTGTTGGCGGCAAGACAGAGACACGGCGGCAGCAACGTACTGGTGAAAACGAAAACAAATCACACGATATGCCAGCAAACTTGAGGGCGTTGGTGCGAGCCGATGTTGGGACAAGACGGATGCAGATGCACGAAAGCTCAAAACCCTAGATAAGGATCGAGGTTTGCTCTGATACCATGTAAAATTTGATGACGCGGAAGATCAAAAGAATACAGAACACAAGAGTTTTACGTGGTATCCTCGATCGATTGATCGAGACTAATCCACGGTGAGCTCGGAACGAGCTCACGACTGATATTTTATTAGGGACTACATTGTAACGGCTTGCTTACGACAATCTCGTAGCTAAGCTTATATAGACGTAGGGTTAAAACCCTAATGACAACCAAATTTCCGTCTTTGACAAGGACAAGGAAACAAGGGACTTGGAGGATAAGGAATTAATTATTTTTGACTAAATGATTAATATCCTCAACATACCTCTCTCCTTCCCTACTCTCTGCTCCAAACCATGTAGGTAAAATTCTGGTTCTTGGTTCTCTTCCGAGTTGAACTTAAAACCAAACGGACCGGAATCGAGTTGGATTGTCCAAATGAATGGCCGGGTCGATGCTTCCAACGTGTCAGCCAATTGTGCATACTCCTCCACTGTTGGGCTCACCTCGCTTCCAAACGATACATATAGCACTGATTCACCCGGTTTGGAGTCCAGCCTGTTAGAGAGTGGTATACGATCCGACATAACCTTCTCCCAACAACTCGAGTTATTGAGACCAACTGGTTTATGACATGGTATCAGAGCTGGTTTGACCAAGTGGTCATGGGTTCGAATCTCCACGACCCCCAATATTAACATTTAATTAAAGCACAAGGTATGGTGATCATTTATGACACAACCATTTAATCACCTCGTCTCCTGTCACATTTGACTCCCGCTTCACTCGTACTTCCTGATCTCGGAACGCTGAACCCATCCTCGTCAATTTCCAGAATTGTTCGGCCAGACCCACAGCCGAACTGGTTTGCCAAAAGCTTGGTTGATGTACTCGACGAATGGAGACTCCAATTCATGACACGTGTTGTAAAGGTACTAGGCAAATCCATCCATATCTTGGAACCAATGCGGGGGCTCGCCGTCCCATGGGTGGTTTCTGAATCTTGGATTCTTGGTCCAGAGCTGGTGGCCCGGTGGGCTGTGGTGTTTGTGGTAGGTGCGGTCTTCCAATAGGCCAAAAAGGGCTTGTCTTGAGGTCAGATTCCGCTACCGCCATGTGTTCTGGACTTCTGGTAAGCTGGGAAGGAAATGGCTGCCTTTGCCAATATCTCCCAAATCAGCCGACCCCGCCTTCCACATCCATCGCCGCTGGAAACGCTCCCGATGCGAAGAACCCAGTCGCCGGGATTTCGAACTCATGAAGAATCAGACCAACCCAGGAACTCAGATGGTCAACTACAGTACACAGGGGTTTACTCCCGCGGATCGCGATTAGGTTTTGGAGGCACTCAGCCATCTGGACGCGTTCCTGCTGGATGCGATGGTGGCAATGGTCTCCGGCGTCAGGGGACGCCGGAGGTGGAGGCGGGAGTGGCAACGTTTCAACGATGCGGAAGACTTCGCCCACGGAGAGAGATGGAGAGACGGAAGAGGAGACGCGAGAGGAGACGATAAGAGTGGTTTTGAGCTTCCGGGAGAGGAATTGCTTGCAGAGTTCGAAGGTCGGCAGGAGATGCCCCTGCCCGTGAAATGAAACTACCCATATTTTCCCAATCGTAGCAGTTGCAGGAGTACTTGTCATCCTCGTTCAACTTAGGTGCTTTTACGTACTTCCTTTATT